GATGCAAGAGAGCGCACCTGGCTCATTTTCCTCCAGTGCCAAGTTTTTTTTTGTTTGTTTGTTTGTGTTTTTTTTTTTTTTCCTTTTTGTCTTTTTTCGTGACCGGCAACGGATCCCAACCCTCGGTGCTGCGCCCGCCCCTCGCTCAGCCAGTGAGCGGCCGGTCTGTATGTGGGATCCGAACCCTTGGCGGGAGCGCCACCGCACTCCCAAGTGGCGCACTGTAGCATTGCGCCACTGGGCCGGCCCATCCAGTGCCAAGTTTTAATTTTTAAATTTTTTCCAGCTTCGTTCAGGCATGAGTGACAAAAATTGTATATATTCAAGGTGTACAACCTGATGATTTGATGTCCATGTACCTTGTGAAATCACCACGATCGAGCTGATGAATGTATCTGTCACCTCACGTAGTTGTGTGTGGGAAGAACGCTTGTTACTCTCAGCAAATTTCAAGCATACGGTACATTATTATTAGCTATAGTCACCAGGCTGAACATAGATCCCAAAAGCTTGTTCATCCTATCACTGAAAGTTTGTACCCTTTGCCCAGCATCTCCCCACCCCACCCCAGCCCCTCGTAACCACCCTTCTACTCTCTGTTCCTGTGAGTTCCACTTTCTGTACTTTCCACATATAAACAAAATCATGCAGTATTTGTCTTTCTGTGTCTCACTTATATCATTTAGCATAATGTCCTGCAGGTTCGTGCGTGCTGTCACACATGACAGGATCTCCGTCTTTTTTAAGGCTGAATAATACTCCATCACACACACACACACACATGTTCTTTATCCATCTGTTCACTCATCGATGGACACGGGTGGATTCCATATCTCGGCTGTCATGGACGATGCTGCAATGAATTTAGGAGAACTTACGAGTGCACACATCTCTTCGAGGTAATGATTTCATTTCCTTTCGGTATCCACAGAAATGGGGTTGCTGGGTCATATCGTGGTTCTGTTTTTGATTGTCTGAGGAACCTCCATACTGTGTCCCACAGTGGCTGTGCCGATTTATGTTCCCACCGACAGTGCGCACAGGTTCCCTTCTCTACACATTCTCACCAACAGTTATCTCTTGTCTTTTTGGCAACAGCCATCCTAACAGGTGTGATGCGCTATCTCACTGTGGTTTTAATTTGCATTTCCCCGTGATTAGTGATGTCGAGCACTTTTCCAGATACCTGTAGGCTATTTGTGTCTTCTTTGGAAAAAATGTCTATTCAGATCCTTTGCCCATTTTTTAATTGGGTTGTTTGGTTCTTTTTGCTATTGAGTTGTGAGAGTTCCTTTTTTTTTTGCCACTGGTAGGGATCCAACCCTTGACCTTGGTGTTGTCAGCACCACACTCTCCCTAGTGAGTGAACCGGCCAGCCCACCTTACATATTTTAGATGTTAACCCTTTATTAGATATATGGTTTGCAAATATTTTGTCAAGTAGCTTTCCTTCTCTGTTTACTACTAAAAATTTTACAGTTTCAGGTTACATGTTTAGGTCTTCAACCTATTTGAGTTTTTTTGAGTATGGTGTTGGATAAGGGTTCAATTTCATTATTTTGCAGTGGATACCCAGTTTTCTTCACACTATTTATTGAAGAGATTGTCCTTCCCTGTTGTATTCTTGGCACCTTCGTTGAAGATTACTTGAGTGTTGTCCTAGTCTGTTTTGTGCTGCTGTAACAGAATACCTGAGACTGGACAATTTAGGATGAACAGAAATTTCTTTCTCATGGATCTGGGGGCTGGGAAGTCCAAGATCAAGGTGCCAGCATCTTACAAGGGCCTTCCTGCTGTGTCATAACATGGCAGAGGTTATCACATGGCTGAAGGGCAAGAGACAGAGGGAACAAGACAGTGGGGGGAACCCGCTCTCACAACAGAGGACCCACTCCTGCAATAACACTAGTTCATTCATGAGGATGGACCCCTCGTGGCCTAATCACCTTGTAAAGGTCTCACCTCTTCATACTGTTACAATGGCATTTAAATGTCAACATCAGTTTTGAAGGGGACACACAGTCAAACCACAGCAACTGTGTATTTGTGGGTTTATTTCTGGGCTTTTTTCCACTGGTGTTCGTGTCTGTTTTTATGCCAGCACCATGCTGTTCTGATCACTGAAGCTTTGTAAGATAGTTGGAACCCAGGAAGTGTGGAGCCGTCTGTTCTTCTTTCTCAAGATTGCTTTAGGGGCCGGCCCGGTGGCGCACTGCTACAGTGCGCCGCTTAGGAAGCGTGGCAGCGCTCCCGCCGAGGGTTCGGATCCCACATACAG